AGGCAAGGTGATAGCTGGGCAGGGATGTAGGCAGGGTGATTTGTAGGTAGGGTGATATTAGACAGGGTGATTTATACGTAGGGTGATATATAGGCAGTGTATGTGTAGGCAGGGTGATGAGTAGGCAAGGTGATAGCTGGGCAGGGATGTAGGCAGGGTGATTTGTAGGTAGGGTGATATTAGACAGGGTGATTTATACGTAGGGTGATATATAGGCAGTGTATGTGTAGGCATGTGTAGGCAAAGTGGTGCAGGGATGTAGGCAGGGTGATTTGTAGGTAGGGTGGTAGACTGATATGTTGATTTATACGTAGGGTGATATATAGGCAGTGTATGTGTAGGCAGAGTAGTGATGAGTAGGCAAGGTGGTAGCTGGGCAGGGATGTAGGGTGATTTGTAGGTAGAGGGATATTAGACAGGGTGATTTATACGTAGGGTGATATATAGGCAGTGTATGTGTAGGCAGGGTGATGAGTAGGCAAGGTGATAGCTGGGCAGGGATGTAGGCAGGGTGATTTGTAGGTAGGGTGATATTAGACAGTGTGATTTATACGTAGGGTGATATATAGGCAGTGTATGTGTAGGCAGGGTGATGAGTAGGCAAGGTGGTAGCTGGGCAGGGATGTAGGCAGGGTGATTTGTAGGTAGGGTGATATTAGACAGGGTGATTTATACGTAGGGTGATATATAGGCAGTGTATGTGTAGGCAGGGTGATGAGTAGGCAACTGTAGACATTTTAAGTGAAATGGTTACATAGATGGAACTAGACAAACTGAGATGTAAGTAAATGAGAGTTGGGCATGCATGCATGCAAGTGGTTACCGTATTAGAAGTAACCAGGGCAGGACTAATTGTCAGAATTCTGTGTTGGAGATCTGACGTGGAGAAGCCATTTCAAGTTAATTTTTGCTTTGTTAAGTCCGCCGCCTGCTGTTGAACGGATGCTGCTACAGTGTGAAGTCTCGTGGTACATTGTGCTAATTATGTTCTAGGAAATGCTCCAGAGATTGCACATGAATCAAGTTATTACCCACTCATAAATCAGCGCGTTGTTGCAAACCGACTACCTTCATGTTCGGCGTCATTCAATTAAACACTTATTTTATTTTCTATGCAAACAATTACATGTTCACACTTTCGTCAAATACCTTCTGTTTTCACGTGACTTCTCCCTAAACGTCATTAAGTAGAGAGCTGTGTAGCGTATGCATCATGCATGAAGAGCAACACATGATATCCAAGCTAAGTGTTCTCAGGTACATACACCGATCACCCCTCTCTCATATGTTGTTATCAAGAGAATGTACGATAATATTTCTTCAAGCGGTTACCAGCTGCTGCATAACTGCTATATGGTGTTTTAGCGACGTTTAATTGGTATGAAAGCATAAAACGCAATGACTTCTTTTACGCAGAAGTTTAGCTTGATTGTAATGTAAAATTGAAAGCTTTTACAAAATATAAAAGTAAATGAAGCATGCATCATATACAGCCAGTTGATACTGCAGGTTATTTACACAGATGAGGCGAAGCCTGAACACAGGCATGTGATGCGCTAAAACATCATTGTGTTCTCTCCCATAAACGAGGCCCCCAATTGCCCATAAATGTTCCTAATCCGGGTTTATCACGCCTACACGGGCAGGCCAATCTTGTTAGTGTGATAGCGTTCCCTATCTCTCTGCCGCGACGCGGGACATCTTCAGGGAATTGGCCAAGAGCCACAGCAATAGAGATCAATAGACGAGACAGTGACAGTGAAAAGACACGTAGAGATGGATGCAACGCATGATGTAAGATGCCAGATAGACGAGACAGTGACAGTGAAAAGACACGTAGAGATGGATGCAACGCATGATGTAAGATGCCAGATAGACGAGACAGTGACAGTGAAAAGACACGTAGAGAGGGATGCAACGCATGATGTAAGATGCCAGATAGACGAGACAGTGACAGTGAAAAGACGCGTAGAGATGGATGAACGCATGATGTAAGATGCCAGATAGATGAGACAGTGACAGTGAAAAGACGCGTAGAGATGGATGCAACGCATGATGTAAGATGCCAGATAGACGAGACAGTGACAGTGAAAAGACACGTAGAGATGGATGCAACGCATGATGTAAGATGCCAGATAGACGAGTGCAACGCATGATGTGAAATGGCAGATGCATGACTGGAACACGTGATGAGAGATGACAGATAGGTGACTGCAACACGTGATGGGAGATGACAGTCAGATGGCTGCAGTGAAAGATGTAAGATGCCAAATAGACGAGTGCAATGCATGATGTAAGATGCCAGATAGATAACTGGAACACGTGATGAGAGATGACAGATAGGTGACTGGAACGAATGATGTAAGATGCCAGAGAGATGACTGGAACACGTGATGTAAGATGACAGGTAGTTGACTGCAACACGTGATGGGAGATGACAGTCAGATGGCTGCAGTGAATGATGTAAGATGCCAGATAGGTGACTGGAACACGTGATGGGAGATGACAGGCAGGTGACTGGAACACGTGATGTAAGGTGACAGGCAAATGATAGGAACACGTGATGTAAGATGACAGGTAGATGCCTGGAACAGGTACGTGATGTAAGATGCCAGATATATAAGGAAACCGTGATGGGAAAGGCCAGATACATGATTGGAACACGTGTTGGGAGATGACAGATAGATGGCCAAACAGACAACTGCAACGCATGACGGTTTAGGAAGATGTCTTATTCGAGTCGATGAACCGATTTGATCTCACTGCGAATGAAAATGCCCAGCTATACTAAGGACTGCTAACACTGCTCAATAACATACATGCAACTGTAACAGACCAGGTCGATAGGCGACTTTCACGTACACGAGATCGATTGATATATTAGAGATTAAAGTGAGACATGTATTGTTGGATTGGTGCTCGTTTTCGCAACTGATACTAAAAAAGTTGCTTTCATGGTTTCCATAGAAACTATGGGAGTTGTGGATATGCACAATTTTCATTTTCGTCTTTGATTAAGTGTAATTAAGTTATCTGTCGTATTTGAGACTTGACCCGAATGTCGTAACGCAAGTAATCTAGTGAAGAATTGTGCATGTTAATTATGTTACTTGTGCAAAAGCTTAAGTTTAGGCGTACAGTATATATGACAGTATGTGGGTTAAGAAGGGAAAGCAAATAAGGATTATTAGTCTCTGTGAAGGTGACTCTTGAGTACAGTCAGAGGGTAGAAAACAGGTACACAGTCCCGGATATACCTGATACGGGTACACAACCTGGATATACACGTCATCCTGGGCGGATATGCAAGACCGTATGTGAGGTCAAGAACAAACGAGACACATTAAACTCTTTCTGTTTATAGCGGATACAATCACCAGGTTATACGTTAGTTTTAAGGTGGTTACAAATGTTAGGATGTTCGAGACTCCATGAGTGATTGTACCAGACATAGGACATGCTGGATAGTGTGTGTATTCAATGCTGATACATGACATAGTGGATAGTGTGTGTATTCAATGCTGGTACAAGACATAGGACATAGTGGATAGTGTGTGTATTCAATGCTGGTACAAGACATAGGACATACTGGAAAGTGTGTGTATTCAATGCTGGTACAAGACATAGGGCATAGTGGATAGTGTGTTTATTCAATGCTGGTACAAGACATAAGACATACTAGATAGTGTGTGTATTCAATGCTGGTACAAGACATAGGACATAGTGGATAGTGTGTGTATTCAATGCTGGTACAAGACATATTGGATAGTGTTTATTCAATGCTGGTACAAAACATAGGACATACTGGATAGTGTGTGTATTCAATGCTGGTACAAGACATAGGGCATAGTGGATAGTGTGTGTATTCAATGCTGGTACAAGACATAAGACATAGTGGATAGTGTGTGTATTCAATGCTGGTACAAGACATAGTGGATAGTGTGTGAATTCAATGCTGGTACAAGACATAGGGCATAGTGTGTGTATTCAATGCTTGAACAAGACATAAGACATAGTGGATAGTGTGTGAATTTAATGCTGTACAAGACATAGTGGATAGTGTGTGTATTCAATGCTGGTACAAGACATAGTGGAGAGTGTGTATTCAATGCTGGTACAAGACATAGGACATAGTGGATAGTGTGTGTATTCAATGCTGATACATGAAATAGGACATACTGGATAGTTTGTGTATTCAATGCTGGTACAAGACATAGTGGATAGTGTGTATTCAATGCTGGTACAAGACATACTGGATAGTGTGTGTATTCAATGCTGGTACCCGACATAGGACATACTGGATAGTGTGTGTATTTAATGCTGGTACAAGACATAAGACATACTGGATAGTGTGTGTATTCAATGCTGGTTCATGAAATTAGACATACTGGATAGTGTGTGTATTCTAAGCAGGTACCCGACATAGGACATACTGGATAGTGTGTGTATTTAATGCTGGTACGTGACATAAGACATACTGGATAGTGTGTGTATTCAATGCTGGTTCATGACATTAGACATACTTGATAGTGTGTGTATTCTAAGCAGGTACCCGACATAGGACATACTGGATAGTGTGTGTATTTAATGCTGGTACAAGACATAAGACATACTGGATAGTGTGTGTATTCAATGCTGGTTCATGACATTAGTCATACTGGATAGTGGTTGTATTCAAGGCAGGTACAGGGCCTAGGACATACTGGATAGTGTTGTGGACAGGTCCAGTGCCAAGTGACAACACTACCACGACCAGCACAGATCTCCAGAATGTCTTGCTTCGCCCCTTCTACCGATCTCAAACACCGTTTGAGTAGGGAGTAAACATTCGATTAATTTTCCAGGACGCTGTGACTGAAATCGATAGCGTATGTCCTAACGTACCTGGTCTTAATGCTTTATGTGACGCAGTTACGATGTTTCTTATATCCTACTGTCTTCTATAATCGATCGACAATGCTTTTTTTCGTGTTTTCCATTTTGGTCCACAAAAGCTGCTCAAGTCTTCCGTGCTGGTGCTCCGTGCTGGCGGAGTTCGATATCTGGCGACATGTTTTAACGTCTCTTTCTGACAAGAGCACCAAACAATGTACGAGGCGTTACATACTCCTGGCATAGCGTCCTCGTTCTAATCACTGTCGGAGAGCGTGGAGGTGTTCTTACACCGGTGAACACGGAGTTCTCCACCCTCACTGAACATCCCGTCTGAGAGATCGATATCGCCCGATCAAAGGTACTCTCTGATTTCTTTGTATAATCAAGGGCCAGTTAGCGAATGACTTCCCACGTTAACAGGAACATCAATTACTGAAGTAGTTTGTGTCTATTTATTTTGTTTCCTAATTTTCAGACTTGAGTCCGTTACCCAGCATCGTTCGACATCCAGGCTACACGGTTAGACCCATAAAGACATCCATCTCACCGCCGCTAAATTAATATTTCATGAACTGCATCAAAGTGATGGATTGATTAAAGAATACGGTAACGCGAAATATAAGCCTCCTAGAATAATAGGGCAACCCTGAATGAATCCATCCAACGATATTTGGACACGAGGAGTCCCTGGGGACAGTCGCCATGCGGTATGAGGTGTTACAGCCGCTTCGTCAATACAGCTGACTACTTTACCCGAACCGGCAGCGACACCACCGCCCATTCAGCGCCCAGGGAAGCTCTGTGAAATCACCCATTACAGCAAAAACTACAATCAAACTTTTACTCTTTTTCCATTGTGGACTGTGAGCTTATTGGTTCGTTGGTAAGTAGGTTTGTCTTCAGAGGAAGAGTGCTATTCATATGAACAGTTGTTACCTCTCGGCGTTCCTGGTCGTTTTTCTCTGGAACTGTCCCCGCAAGTCACGGGGTGCTCTGTGCCGTCACTGACCACTGTCTTGTAAACCATAGGATCGAAAGTGCGGGAATAGGCCAGTGGAAACCTGTATTTATTCAGTAAAAGGTTCTAACGTTGGTCAAACACTGGAGGCAGCGTCGCCCGCCCGCCGCATCACGTCCCCTCCGAGCAGTCTGACCCAGGACAATCCACGACCACAAGGGACTTTCGATTTCTCGGTGGGTATAAGTGATGGCAATGATAACCTCTCTCACTGAATCCGCCGTGTACCAGCCGAGCAGCTCCGAGAGCGGAGACGACTGGACTCCCCTGCCCTCACGGATGGCTGGAGGTTCCAGGTAAGTTGGCCGTTTTTAATAAGTAATTTAGTTGACATAAGTTTACATCCATGGTTTGTTTCAACGTCAAATCTTAACAATGTATGTATGTTTGTATAGATGTATATATGTGCATGTGTGCATGCGTGTGGATATGTGTGTATATGGATGGATGGATGTACGGTTTTGTGTGTGTGTGTGTGTGCGAGAGAGAGAGAGAGAGAGAGAGAGAGTGTGTGTGTGTGTGTGTGTGTGTGTGTGTGTGTGTGTGTGTGTGTGTGTGTGTGTGTGTGTGCGTGCATGTGTGTGCGTCTGTGATCCGTTTGGCACAGAGAATGGCGGAGGCTGCAGACCCAACCAGTAATACTCAAGCTATATCGTTGGTGCCTACACAGTTGTGTGGTCTGGATATGGCACCACATTGACTGGCATCCTAAATAACGATCCAGCTGTCGTATGCAATCCAGTAAGACATAGAGCCTCAATACCCGGTTATATTTATCCTATACAGGTTCGACAAGGCGTCCCTCGGGTATACGCATGAGGAGGTGTCTTTGTACTGCGTCACGGTTGTTGACTGTATCAAACATATCATGGTTCTAGATAACACACCAACATGTTAGATGCCATACTGACATGTCATGGTGCTAGATACCATACTGACATGTCGTGGTGCTAGATACCATACTGACATGTCATGGTGCTAGATACCATACTGACATGTCATGGTGCTAGATACCATACTGACATGTCATGGTGCTAGATACCATACTGACATGTCGTGGTGATAGATACTATATCAACATGTCAGATAACACACCAACATGTTAGATGCCATACTGACATGTCGTGGTGCTAGATACCATATCAACATGTCGTGGTGCTAGATTCCATACTGACATGTCGTGGTGCTAGATACCATATCAACATGTCGTGGTGCTAGATACTATATCAACATGTCGTGGTGCTAGATACCATACTGACATGTCATGGTGCTAGATACCATATCAACATGTCGTGGTGCTAGATACTATATCAACATGTCATAGTGCTAGATACCATACTGACATGTCGTGGTGCTAGATACCATATCAACATGTCGTGGTGCTAGATACTATATCAACATGTCGTGGTGCTAGATACCATACTGACATGTCATGGTGCTAGATACCATATCAACATGTCGTGGTGTTAGATACTATATCAACATGTCGTGGTGCTAGATACCATACTGACATGTCATGGTGCTAGATACGTACCATACTGACTTGCCATGGTGCTAGATACCATACTGACTTGTCATGGTGCTAGATACAATGGGTGTCACGATTCGGTTCGGTTCATCGAAAATAGAATCGATAGATGTACGATTCGATCTCGATTACAAATGCATCCACATCGATTCGATTCATAAAGTACTTACTTTCTAATACTGAAGGTTTATTTCACCTGAAATCGTAAGAAATTATGTTGAAAATTCGCTGCTACAAGTGTGGCCAGTGAGAGGGTATTCTCCACTGCCGGAGACATTGTAAGTGCCCAGAGGGCATGTCTTTCAAGTGAAAATTCTTGCACAGGACATGATCATTCCAAATGACTTAAAGTGACATTACAGTCACAATGAACACTTGACACCAGAGTTCGTGACTGAAACTTAATTTCATGATCACTTGTTCAGCGAGTATTTGTTTACAACTTGTCTTGACAGAGTTCTAATTGTGCAATGTGCCAATTTTCCAAAGTTTGCCAAATTAAACTGATATTACAACAATTTTGACTTTGTCCTCAGCTTTGGTGAATCGAATCGAAATCAATCGAATCGAACGAATTGAATCGATAATCGTATCGAATCGAAGTGAGAGAAGTGAAAATTCTTGCACAGGACATGATCATTCCAAATGACTTACAGTGACATTACAGTCACAATGAACACTTGACACCAGAGTTCGTGACTGAAACTTAATTTCATGATCACTTGTTCAGCGAGTATTTGTTGACAACTTGTCTTGACAGAGTTCTAATTGTGCATTGTGCCAATTTTCCAAAGTTTGCCAAATTAAACTGATATTACAACAAATTTGACTTTGTCCTCAGCTTTGGTGAATCGAATCAAAATCAATCGAATCGAACGAATTGAATCGATAATCGTATCGAATCGAAGTGAGAGTGACACCCCTACTAGATACCATATCAACATGTCGTGGTGCTAGATACCATACCAACATGTCGTGGTGCTAGATACCATACTGACATGTCATGGTGCTAGATACCATACCAACATGTCGTGGTGCTAGATACCATACTGACATGTCGTGGTGCAAGATACCATATCAACATGTCGTGGTGCTAGATGCAAAATCAACACGTCGTGGTGCTAGATACCATACCAACATGTCATGGTGCTAGATACCATACTAACATGTCATGGTGCTAGATACCATACCAACATGTCGTGGTGCTAGATACCATATCAACACGTCGTGGTGCTAGATACCATACCAACACGTCGTGGTGCTAGATACCATACTGACATGTCATGGTGCTAGATACCATACCAACACGTCGTGGTGCTAGATACCATACCAGCATGTCATGGTGCTAGATACCATACCAACATGTCATGGTGCTAGATAACATACCAACACGTCGTAAATACCCGTTGACATACCGAGATGATAGCACCTTACACTTTAGTTGACAGTCTCGGTGGTACCAAGTTAATGTTTATACCGTGGAGGTAGCTACCTAACACTTTAGTTGACAGACATGTCGCGGTGGTATCAGGGTAATTAGTACTCCATCAAGGTAGCCACCTAACACTTCAGCTGACAGGCATTTCGCGGTGGTATCAGATTAATTAGTACACCATGGAGGTAGCCACCCAACACTTCAGTTGACAGACATGTCGCGGTGGTATCAGGGTAATTAGTACACCATGGAGGTAGCCACCCAAAACTTCAGTTGACAGGTCATCATCGCTATACAGACATCCACGGGGTAGGTATTCCGGATATAAAATAGGGGTACACACATGGTAGTCACGTTGCTCGTGTAGCCAGGACGCATAACGGACACTTCACTGTCATCAGCATGTGCTTGATATATTTCATACAATTCATGAATATAAAACGAAGGTACACACTCTATGGAATTATATCGACAACAGACACTCCATGGCGTTACTATCATGGAACTAACTTTTCAGACGTACCGCTATGGTGGACAGCTTATGGACATGCCACGAATGTAGACTCATTATACACGTAATGCTATAGTGAACTCCTTATAGACATGCCACTATGGTACACACTTTACTGACATACCGCTACAGTGAACTCCTTATAGACATGCCACTATGGTACACACTTTACTGACATACCGCTATAGTGAACTCCTTATAGACATGCCACTATGGTACACACTTTACTGACATTCCGCTATAGTGAACTCCTTATAGACATGCCACTATGGTACACACTTTACTGACTTTCCGCTATAGTGAACTCCTTATAGACATGCCACTATGGTACACACTTTACTGACATTCCGCTATAGTGAACTCCTTATAGACATGCCACTATGGTAGACACTTTACTGACATTCCGCTATAGTGAACTCCCTATTGACATGCCACTATGGTACACACTTTACTGACTTTCCGCTATAGTGAACTCCTTATAGACATGCCACTATGGTACACACTTTACTGACATTCCGCTATAGTGAAGTCCTTATAGACATGCCACTATGGTAGACACTTTACTGACATTCCGCTATAGTGAACTCCTTATAGACATGCCACTATGGTACACACTTTACTGACATTCCGCTATAGTGAACTCCTTATAGGCATGCCGCTATGGTACACACTTTACTGACATTCCGCTACAGTGGACTCCTTATAGACATGCCACTATGGTACACACTTTACTGACATACCGCTATAGTGAACTCCTTATAGACATGCCACTATGGTAGACACTTTACTGACATTCCGCTATAGTGAACTCCTTATAGACATGCCACTATGGTACACACTTTACTGACTTTCCGCTATAGTGAACTCCTTATAGACATGCCACTATGGTACACACTTTACTAACATTCCGTTACAGTGAACTCCTTATAGACATGCCACTATGGTAGACACTTTACTGACATTCCGCTATAGTGAACTCCCTATTGACATGCCACTATGGTACACACTTTACTGACTTTCCGCTATAGTGAACTCCTTATAGACATGCCACTATGGTACACACTTTACTGACATTCCGCTATAGTGAACTCCTTATAGACATGCCACTATGGTAGACACTTTACTGACATTCCGCTATAGTGAACTCCTTATAGACATGCCACTATGGTAGACACTTTACTGACATTCCGCTATAGTGAACTCCTTATGGACATGCCACTATGGTACACACTTTACTGACATTCCGCTATAGTGAACTCCTTATGGACATGCCACTATGGTACACACTTTACTGACTTTCCGCTATAGTGAACTCCTTATAGACATGCCACTATGGTAGACACTTTACTGACTTTCCGCTATAGTGAACTCCTTATAGACATGCCACTATGGTACACACTTTACTGACTTTCCGCTATAGTGAACTCCTTATAGACATGCCACTATGGTACACACTTTACTAACATTCCGCTACAGTGAACTCCTTATAGACATGCCACTATGGTAGACACTTTACTGACATTCCGCTATAGTGAACTCCCTATTGACATGCCACTATGGTACACACTTTACTGACTTTCCGCTATAGTGAACTCCTTATAGACATGCCACTATGGTACACACTTTACTGACATTCCGCTATAGTGAACTCCTTATAGACATGCCACTATGGTAGACACTTTACTGACATTCCGCTATAGTGAACTCCTTATAGACATGCCACTATGGTAGACACTTTACTGACATTCCGCTATAGTGAACTCCTTATAGACATGCCACTATGGTACACACTTTACTGACATTCCGCTATAGTGAACTCCTT